AAATGAATTTTTTAATGCTCATTTCGTAATTTATGTATACTCAATTAATATTAATGCAATACTAATTTTAAAATGTCATATTCATGCACACTTCAAAATGAGTTTTATGTTAAACTCAAATGAGTATAACGCCCAAAATGAATGAGCACAGACAAATGAGTTTTTAAAGCTTCTGATACTCATTTTGTAAGTTGTGTATGCTCATTTGATACTGTTTTACGCTCATTTAAAAATGTTTCACATTTCAAACGCATCATACTATATTGGATTCAGATATTGAAATAATAAACGAAAAAATAATAAAAAGATATTGAATTAGAAAATATAAAGCACAAATCGCTGGTGCTCATTGTTAGACCCCTAATACTCAAAAGAACAGACTCGATGCTCATCACAATCACATAATGAAAATCACTAATGCTTATAATTTCAAGTTAATGCTCAATGAAAACATCTTGATGTTCAATTAAAGTACTTATGATTTTCATATCAATTCTAATTTTTTAAGTTATAATGCTCAATGGGTATTTATGTTATGCTCATTTGTAAAATGGCATAACAATGCATATTTCAAAAGTATCTTATTGCATTAAATTCGCATACTGAAGTTCATAAGAGTTGATTATAGATATAATTAATCAGTTTTTATAAAGATAAAAATAAGGAAAAGAAAGTAAATTTGAAGAGATGAAGCAGAGATCATGATGCTCATTGTTATACTTCTAATGCTCAACAAAATATGTCTCACGCTCATTAGATGTGTTTTAATGCTTATTCAGTACAAGACGCGAATTTTATGTAAATTACAAAAATGCCACCGGCTGTACGGTGCTCACTGTACAGCTGGCTGTACTATATACGCTTCCGTTCTTTGTATCCCGCAGCTAAAAGTAGAGAAAATAAAAATTTAAATATCAATTGCTGCGGTTCCCTTAGGACCGCAGCGAATAATCTAAATTTTCCGGAATAAATGTAGCGGTTCCCTTTAATCCGCCGCAAATACTACTAAATTTTAACATTTTGCTGCGGGTGGGTTTATAACCGCAGCAAAAAGGGAGCAGCAAATGACAGAAAATCTAGTAGTGATAAAAGTCAATTAAGGAAGTATTTAAAAACGATCTCGGAAGGCAGGGAAAGAAAATTAAATAGAAGCAGGCCCTATAAATTAAAATTAGTTTACAGATGAACTGGATCGACGAATTAAAACAAAATAGAGCGATTTCTGTAATCAGAAGCTGAAACGATGCGTTCAGCCCACCGGAAACGGGCCAGATCTAGGGCTTCCGCCGGAGAAGAGAGACTGTTGAGAGAGAGAGTTCCGTGCCCCGCCTCCGTTGTTCCAGCCAAAGAGCCGCTCCCTACCTACCAGGGTCGCCTGTGTATGACTCTTATGAAGCAAGAGTTTGGTTGGATTTGTCCGCAGAGAAGAGAAAGGAGATGAGTCATAGATTAGGGGTAAATTTGGAAAGACGGAAAAATATGATCCTATTTAGGTATAAAAATCATTTAACTCCTATTTAGTTACATTAGCTTTATTTTGGTCCTATTTGGCACCATTTGAGAGGAGAGAATACATATTAAATCAAATACAAAAGATTCACTTTAAATCAATCTCGACTAAATCAGAAAAAACGAGAACAATCAAACCATATACGAAGTATTAAAAAATTACAGAAAGATAAAAGAAAATTTGAGATGAGATGCTTTTTAGGTAGGGAAAATGGGAAAGCATTTAACCCTTCGCATATTCCATGTTTTGTTTAAGCATCTTAACGGCCAAAGGCTTGCCGTGTCGTCACGTAACCCATAAAACCACCCATTTTTTCACGCTTCCATGTTGTCGGCTTCGTATTTAAGTTTTTATTTTGTAATTTCTATTTTGTTGTTGAAAGGAATAACGTTTTCTTTGTAACTTCCTATTAGTAAGCTCGAAAATATGACCACTTCTATCACCACTAGCGCCCTCCTTTAATTTAACACCACTTCTACTAATTTGTATTCAATCACTAACCCTGGTTTTTGGTTATTCATTATGTTAGGCTTGGAAATTTATTCTCACTCTCGTAAAAATATGATGTTTTTTCCAAAATATAACTAGAATAATATTTGTGGATAAAAGTGTGATTATAGTGACGGTAAATATACATTTGAACATAATTATAGTCACTAAAAATCATCTAATCACATTTAAATCAAATATGAAAATGTCTAATCACAAACTACCATTAGCATCGTATAGATTCTCTAAAAAGAAATATTTGAACACAAAATTACAACTTACTGATAATAATCATTATAAAACTGTTAAGTTAATTCATGAATTTGTTACTTGTAAATGTGTGGCCTTATATTGACACCCAAGTGTTATTTTACTAAAGGGAAAAGGGGCAAATAAGCCCTCGAACTAATCAAAAAAGTGCAAATAAGCCCTTTTGTAGGAGGTTCTGTCCGATCATCGTCATTTGGGGAGGTTCTCGGTGGAATTTTTTGATGAATTTTTTTGAACATCTTCTTCATTAAGTCTAGTTTAGCCATACCGAATTTCAGCTAAAAATTCAACCGGGAAGGCACTCAAATGATTTTCAGAAATATACTGCGTTGTTTAACTGCGCAGTTATCTTCAAAAATTCATTTGACTGTCTCCCCGGTTGAATTTTTAGCTGAAATTCAGTAGGACTAAACTAGACTTAATGAATTAGATGCTCAAAAAATTTCATCAAAAAATTCCACCGTGAACCTCCCCAAATGACGATGACCGGACGGAACCTCCTACAAAAGGGCTTATTTGCACTTTTTTGATTAGTTCGAGGGCTTATTTGCCCCTTTTCCCTTTTACTAAATATTGTTCCAACTCTTTTTATTACAACTCGTCTTTGTGCCACTTGCACAATGTAAAAAACTACATGTGCACAAATATGTACACATTTTCGATACACCTTCTAGTTACATGTATACAAAAGATAATTTGTTTAGAAAGATTAGCAATTGTCTATGTGTATAAACGAGTGCACAAAAAGTGTGAGAGCTACATGCTTTTTTCCCTTTTCAGTCTCGTTTTACTTTTTGAATCAAGTCCACTTATAAGTTCTGTCATACATACAGGAAATGTCCATAAGTCTCTGTATATTAGTTTTTGTACTATTAAAAAGTTTCTAAATTGTATGTTTGATATGATAATTTTTAACAATTTTTTAAAAAATAAAAAATCTTTTCTGAGATGCTACAAAAAGTAGTATATGAGAAAACTATGTGGCTTTTAGCACGAATTAGTCCCAACAGTTTGCTTACCAAACAGAACTAAACCAAACACTTAGCTTTTTACCAAATAACTACTAGTAGCACATTAATTATACTTTTAAGATCTTTTTAATCACTAAAAGTTACTGAGTAACAGTTAAGAAAAAGTTTATATTAGTATTTTTTCAGCTAGTTGTGCTAAGCACACTCATATTTTACTCTCATATTTTTATCTCCCATATTTTTCATTACTCACACATATCTCATATTCGATCTTCACTAAATTAAAATAATTATTTTATCTTTATCTCTTCCATGTCACCTCTCATTGGAGCCTAGGTACACATTGTGCATATATTTGTTGTTTGGGGAAAGATATTAATATTGATTCACTTGGTGAAAAGTATATTCCTTTTTTGTCCGATGAGTAATAGATATGTGACTTTCCTTTTTTCTCCTTCTAGCTCTATGATCATAGATTTTTAGTTATAATCCTTACAACTACTAAAAAAAGTACTTTTCAATTTTCGTTTTATAAAAGTTAAAAAACAACTTTTGACTCGAAATCCTCAAAACTGATTAAATACTTGGTCACATAAGTTGTTTAATAAGTTAATACTTAACTATACTGTCTATACACATTAAGTTTGGACAATTAATGTGTAATGGATCTCAACTTTTCAAGAATGTTTATTTGTTCTATTTCTATTTCTAAAATAACTGTTTTGTATATGAGTTTCGTTTAGAAGAAGTGAGACTACACCAACACACCAAAATCTAAATGAATAATCAAACTAATTTCATAGCGTACTTTAATTAACTTTATTTTAACATGTTAAATGTGAAATTGACAAAACTGTCATGACATTTTAATATTAGTTAGATTTACTTCGTATCAATTTTAACCAACAAACAAAATAAATTATATGATACTCCCTCCATCCATATATTGTCTTCAAACTTTTATTTCTCTTCCGTCCTAAAATTATCTCCTTTTTTCCTATGTTGCAAAAAAATGTGTGATTCATAACCATTCTTACATATATTTCTCTCTCCTCTGAACAATTCTTCACCATACAATTTCCACAATCATAATTTATGTGCTCAGCCAATGGAGAAGTTTTTATAGGGACGGGGGAATAATATCTTTAGTTTTGTGCACATAACACAAAAATTGAAGAAAATTTGTAGAAAAAGAGATTGAATTAAGAAAAATTGTATTCGTACAAAAAATTTGTATATATTTAGTACAAATTTATGCATAGTTGTCTACCACATGCCAAATACATTGTGATCTCCCAAATTTATACAATGGAATGATGACATCACTGCTGATCTCCCAAATTTATACCGTGGAATGATAACATCACTACTGATCTTCCAAAGAGGAGGTGGTAGGTTCGAATCCTATCCCAATCAAGGATGTTGACATTAACAAGAGCACATGCTAGTCCTATCCCAATCTATTATAGCATGTATAATAGATTTAGAAAAGTGTTTCAAAAAAAAAGTTACCAAGCACATAAGTGCTAGACAAGCCGGTTGTTACCCATATGTGCATACAATGACATCCGATATCTAGGTCCGTCATACTAAATAGTGAATATATACACCTTCCATTTGCTTGTATACATATACAACTCGTGCAACTTAATGTAGCAATTGGGTTTTTTTTTTTTGGTTTTTGTTCAAAAAACATTGTTGTTTGAATTAAATTGAGAATTTTTTGGAGACAATTGTTATTCAATCAGTTGTGGGACCCCATGGCATTGGATGTATCTTTCAAGAGAGAGAAAGAGAAGGTAACACGGAGTACCAGTTTGGAGGAAGGGAAAAAGCGAAGAGAAGAGGGAGAAAACGTTTTCCAGTTCAAAAGGTCAAACGCACAACCATAAAACCATCTCCTCTTGTCATCTACATCTTTCCCGTGCGTGTTCTCCGCTTGATTAATGCTTCATCATCTGATTGTTAACTCACGTCAGCAGCATCGCCCGGCGGCTGACGGAGACCGGCGACGGAGGCTACACTGACGATTCATCACCGACATCAACATCAGCAGTAGCGCAGGAAGCAGATATACAATCTGTGTTACTTCAATTGGTAACGTCTGGTTCGTTTCATTCCTTGGTTGTTCTTCGAGTTTATCATGAAGAAAAGCCAGAGTATCAATAGTAACGTGAATAATAAGGTGAAGAATGGGGCTACCAATGGCTTTCTTCCGAATTCTTTCAAGTTCATATCCTCCTGCATCAAAACTGTGTCGTCTAACGTGAGATGTGCGGGAGCCTCCGTGGCCGGTTCCATCTCCGCCGCTGCCTCCGACTCGGATGATCATCGCAAGGACCAGGTCTTAAACACTTCATCGCATTGATGATTCAAGTTTACTGAGTAGTTGTTACTTAATTTCTACCTGGATTTTGCTTACGTGCTGGATTCATTTATAGCTGTGCCGATTTTCTCCACATTTTTGTACGGCAAATCATGATATCAATTCACTCATTCATTTCCAGATTGCTGGATTGACGTCATTCATATTTCATAGGGTTGTAACCTTCTGACAGGCTGTATTTGGTTACTACTTACTTCAAGTGAATTTCAGTGCTTATTTGTGTTAACAAAAGCTATTGTTTGGGGACATTGAGCTTTGTACATGTCGTAGTTATAACTTAGGGAGTATAAGATTGTAGATAGATGCTTCTGGATAATAAGATATTTACTTGAGTTTGAAAGGAACCTTAGGAACTTCATTTTACTGTTCAACATGTGGTATTGTTTTAATTTTGTACTGCTGAAAAGCATATTGTTACACTCACTAACTGTATTTTATTGTAACACAATACCTTCGCAAGTATTAGTTACATGTGCATTAACTGTAATTCAGATCTAAGTAGCATATTTCTCTCTTGAGGTTGTTGCATGCTATCTACCTTATACTGATTTTTTTCATCATCTATCACACGCTCCATGCATGATATGAAAGTGTGAAAGTAAACCTTGACAAAATCCTTGACCTATACCTATTGCAAAGTTCAAAATTGCGTCCTGAGGCTAAGCATTGAAGAAATACCTAGAAATTGGCGATGTGGCTCAACGTATTGAGAGCAATACCTAGAAATTGGCGATGTGGCTCAACATATTGAGATCAATACCTAGGTTTTGCGCACTATCCTACTGTGGCTTGCCATATCAATAACTCTATTAGGCTTAATAGAGGCTTATGCCGTACAGTTTGTCAGTTATACTAAAGTGAAACAAGTTTTGAGTTAAAGAGTCATCAACCCTATAACAGAAAACTAGCCATCTTTCTCCAGGCTGCCTTTCCTCCGCGCACCAACCCAAGAAAGCCTTTGCCCCTATGTTGAATAGCAAGAGTTTTATTGTTATTTCATAACTTTATTTTTCATGCGTTGACTCACACCTCCTTCATGGTTGCATCACATATATACACTCATATGCATACCTAGGTTATATAAAATACTCCACCCTCATGGAAAATACTAAAATAATCAACTCTCCACATACTTGGATACACTAAAGGAATCGACACCCTCACATCCTTCTTAATTAATTCAACAACTTATTCATTTTCTTTTATCTTCTCCTATCCATACAACATTACACTTAAATCCCCCGTGGGTCTTTTCTTCCTCAATAGCTCAGTGGTAGAGCGGTCGGCTGCGCCCAATAGGAATTGAACCTATACCAAAGGTTTAGAAGACCTATGTCCTATCCATTAGATATTTTAGTTTAGGTAATATTTTTGATGCATCATTGTAATAAGTTAACAAGATACTTGCTCGCCAAGGCTCTTGGGACAAGAATCGATGAGAGGTTCTATTTATTGATAGGATCATCTATAGTTTTGGAGTTGGTGCTTGTGTCACTTGCCATGTTCAGGAAGGAACATTAGTCTGCCAAGGGCGACTAGTTCTTTATCGTCATACTTCTTATCTTTCAATATTCTTTCTATTCATCTCCCAACGCCCAACCACGCTTTCAACAGTATCTCTTTTTTCATATTTGATCTTTTAAAATGTCTGTGTAAGTGTTCAATAGAAATTGAGTGGGGACTGCGCACTAACCACTTCACTAGCTCACTGCCTCCGCTCGTGCTCAGTGTCAAGTACTTCTTAGCTAGAGACTTAGTGGCAAGTGCTCACTGTCGAATGTATTATGTAAAATGTGGATTTTGTCTCAATGTATACATTCAAAATTTTGTCCTTTTATAATGTTTACCCAAAGATTATTATATATATCAATAGTTAAAGATTAAAATCATGCATTGTCAAACTGATGCATCTAAAAGAATGGAGATAGGATTGTGTAAGGCTTGACTGCTTGAGTTCACAGTTTTGGTGGTGGTAGGACTTCATCTTTGACTTGTTTCTGGATTTGACTATACAGTTTCTTGAGTATTAATGAATATGGTATTATATTATGATTATTTTTATTTTCTTAAGTACTTAGTATCATTTTGTAATCATGTTATATAAACTTTTACATTAAACTGAGGCATGCACAGTGATACGTACAACTGTATGCATGATGAGGTTGGCTCCTCTCTTCATCCCACCAATCCGCCTTATCTATGCAATACACACGGTTTATAAGGCATTGATATTTGGTTTACATTTAATGCTTAGAATGTGTAGTTATGTACTCGCATACATAGATTCTAGAATTCTGACACTGTTTTGTGTTTCTTTGTCTGCCTTGTTCTATAAAAAAGGTGTGGTTCTATACTTCTAGGAGAACAACGAAAGGAGTATTGAAGCCATACAATTGTATGCCAGCAATGTAGGAGAAAAAGAAAATGTATTGTTTCCTATCTTGTCAAAAAAGAATCAGTCAATTGTTTATGGGAAGTTTGTGAAAAAAAATTCAACCATAGCAGCTCTTTTCTACTCTGTGGAGTCCCTTCTATGGGATTCAACACTCTTATTGTTTAGATTTTTTATTGTGTTTGGCTTCAATGAATAATAGCTTTTTATGTTTGTAACATTGAAGTTGCTGTGTTCTCATCAATCCTCTCGGATTTGCACATCGACAAGCAGGTTTTATGGGCTTGCTTTGACAAACTAGAATTAGCTCCCTCATCATTCAAAAACATCCTGCTGATTGGTTATTCCAATGGGTTTCAAGTCTTGGATGTTGAAGATGCTTCTAATGTATGCGAACTGGTCTCTCAGCGCGACGATCCAGTAACATTTCTACAGATGCAACCCATCCCTGCAAAGTCTGATGGCCATGAGGGATATAGAAACTCACATCCCTTGCTCTTGGTGGTGGCTTGTGGTGAAGCAGCTCAGTCCATTCCTGCACAAAGTGGGAGGGATGGCATTATTGAGCCTCAAGCAGGAAACAATACGAACTTGCCTACTACATCTACCCTTAGATTTTATTCTCTAAGGTCCCACAATTATGTTCACATTTTGCGATTCAGGTCTGCTGTTTTTATGATTAGAGCTAGTCCGCATATAGTTGCTGTTGGCCTCGCGACGCAGGTGAGTATCTTTAATTTTCCACTAGAATGATCAAATATTTGGTTCATACAAATGGTACAATGAATTTCTTCAAGCATAAGAACACCCATTAGTCTTTTAAACTACAACTATTCATTAGACTGGTTGCTACCTTAACCCTAAATGTGTTCATGTGCTCTTGTAGTGATCAAGTTTTTGTTATACTGAACATTCTAATATTTTTGCTGGTAGATATATTGCTTTGATGCCATCACCCTGGAGAATAAATTTAGTGTGCTCACCTATCCTGTGCCTCAGTCTGGCGGTCAGGGTTTTACTGGAGTCAATATTGGCTATGGTCCAATGGCTGTAGGTCCAAGGTGGTTAGCTTATTCATCAAACAACCCAATGATAGCAAACACAGGACGATTAAGTCCACAAAGTCTTAGTCCTTCTCCAGGTGTTAGCCCATCTACATCTCCAGGTAATGGAAACCTGGTAGCTAGATATGCCATGGAGTCTAGTAAACAACTTGCTTCTGGATTAATCAATCTTGGAGACATGGGCTATAAGACTTTTTCAAAGTATTGTCATGAGCTTCTTCCTGATGGCTCCAGTTTACCTGCATCATCAAGCACTGTCTGGAATGTCGGAAGGGGTCCACTTCACTCAAATGAAACCGATGCAGCTGGGATGGTTAGTCTCACTAGTCACTAATAATTTTGTATTAAAAACACTTTAATTTAGGTTAGTTAGATAGGAATAGATCTGTTTTTACTTAACCACTTCACTATTACTAGGGGTGGGTTCGGTTCAAACGGTTCGGTTTTCACCTAAAACCAAATGCCGAATCAAAGTAAAAAGTTCGGTTCGGTTCGGTTTTATGTTAAAAAATTTGGAACCATGGTTTGTTCGATTCGGTTTATTTCGGTTGAGTTTCGGTTTTTTCGGTTTTTACCAAAGTATTTTTGTTGATTAGAAAAGTAGTATTTGGAAAACAAAAACAAAAAATAAGCTACATCAAATTATTATTAATAATAATTCAACACAAAAACATATAATTAAAACAGTGGTTAAAATAATTCACCCCTACCTATTACTCTACATGGTGGGATTTTACCGGGGTGGTAGTTTTGGTTGTATCAAAATAGTCTACTGCCAATATTGCTGGCATTTGTTTTCTTCACTGATCACCCTTTTTCGTATTCAAGTAAAGCAAGCCACACATTTTAAACATGTTTTGAAAATAATAAAATGGTTAAGCAGGTTCTGCCTTTTGTGAGCTGATGTGTAACTCCGTTAACTTGCACAATGCAGAGGAACTTGCTTGGGAAGGGATGCGCCTTAAAAAACGATCTATGCCGTTACAGATTAAATTTGATTTTCCCATAATGTAGTCCTTCACAAGATTAACTGTTGAAGCCTGAATTATGACTTATGAAGAGTGGTTGTTTCTTTGTTGTAGTAGCCAAGCATTGTGATTGACAACATATCCCCTTGATTTAACTAGCCCACATACATTAATTGACTGTGGCACACTGGCACCCAGATTCTCCTTTTTTAAATTGGCCCTGAAAAGGAAAAGGTCCTAATTAATTCCTCATCTGAAGAAGTACTAACATCACATTAATATGTAATAAATTTTATTGAAGTGTTACATTTCTAAAATAGTAAAATGTAGAGTTCAGTGTTTACCCCTGATCTAAAAGAACTATTAATCTGATGTGTTTATTGCAGGTTGTCATCAAAGATTTCATATCCAGAACTATAATTTCACAATTTAGGGCGCATACTAGCCCTATATCTGCTCTATGTTTTGACCCTAGTGGCACTCTCTTGGTCACTGCTTCCATACACGGTAACAATATAAATATATACCGTATATTGCCCAATTGTTCTCAGAATGGATCAGGTGCACTTAACAATGATTGGAGTTCTTCTCATGTCCACCTCTACAAGCTCCATCGAGGCGTGACTCCAGCTGTGTGTATTTTGTGCCTCTTAATGTTGTAACTCGTTTTTGTTGTTGACTTATATTCTAGGCATTTTTCATCCTCTAATGCAATCTTGTTTTCTAACAGGTGATACAGGACATTTGTTTTAGTAACTTTAGTCAATGGGTGGGTATTACTTCAACTAAGGGGACATGCCATATTTTTGTACTATCCCCTTTTGGTGGTGAGACAGGGCTTCAGCAGAGCACTCATGTTAGTGGAACAACACTAACACCTATACTTTCTATGCCATGGTGGTCTGCTTCTTCTTTTTCAACAAATGCACACTCTTCTTGCCCCCCACCAACACCTATCACACTGTCTGTCGTTAGCAGGATAAAAAATGTCTCTGGTTGGCTTAATTCAGTAAGCAGTGTGGCATCTTCTGCAGCAGGAAGGGTTTCTGTACCTTCTGGTGTTGTTGCAGCTGTCTTTCATAGTTGCGTACACCGAGATGTGCAGCATGCTCCCCAAAATCTGAACACTTTAGAACATTTGTTGGCCTTCACTCCCAGTGGACATCTAATTCAATATGAATTGGTTTCTTCTCTTGGTCGAGAGCAGGGTCAGTCTTCTTTGAGAAGTGGTACTGCCCACTTAATGCAGATGCAAGAGGATGATCTGGGAGTTAAAGTTGAGCCTGTACAATGGTGGGATGTTTGTCGAAGGGCAGACTGGCCTGAAAGAGAGGAGTGCATTCAGGAAATCTCCCTCTGGAACCGTGGGTGCATGGAAACTGTCATAGATAATTCTGCCAGTGAAGATGATGACATTGGAGGTAAGGATATAACAAAGCCGCATGGTCAGTCTCACTGGTATCTTTCAAATGCCGAAGTTCAGTCAAGGTCTTGGAGGATACCAATTTGGCAGAAGTCTAAGGTAGAGAACTACAACTACCACTTATAGCCTTCATTGTACAGACCTTTAAGATTTACTATAAAGAGGTATATACCAATGATCATTTCATTTGATTTAGATATGCTTCTATACATTGAGTTTCCAAGGGAATGCAGAGCATTATATTGATCAGCTTTCTTCCAGCGGGGAGATTGAAATAGAGAATATTTCTGTTAATGAAGTCGAAATCAAGCGCAAGGATTTGCTACCTGTATTTGACCATTTTCAGAGGGGCACAAATTGGAATAATGAAAGGTAATATGGACCTGCAAGTTCACTTCCCAATGAATGCCTATACAACATTTTTGTTCACTTCTTTGGTTCGACGAAAGAATTATGAACTTGAGTTTTGTTTTTTTTATACTATCATGTCTGATACAGTATATCCTATTTGGGTAGACCTTTTGCAGTACCTATTCCTTTCACAATGTTTTATTATTAGATCTGGCTAAAGGAGAGTTAAGTTCCTTACACCCTGCACTGGGTCCACGTATTGTTGGTACCGTTTTCTTGATTTATATTGAAAAGTAAGCGCTTGGGCCACTTACGTTTCACAAAACGTTGGGTTTTCTTTCTATCTACCACCTCATCGTGTGGATATAAACTCGCAAGATCATTAATATTACTGAAGAAACCAATTTAACTCTAAGTCAGAGAAAATTTATGCTTCCCTGTTCTCTAATTGAGAAATGAATCATTGGATTTGGTTTTCTTTATAGGCTCCGGCCAAATTTTTATCAGGACATTATTCTCAGAATGACATTGTGCTTTATCTTGGGCTGTAGTAATTTCACTTTTAAGAGGTAATGAAGTTCGATATTTGAAGGAAAACATGATTTGGCGTGCTTATTTTTCATGGATGCAGTTGTGAGTTTGAGTAGTTAACAGGACAAACTTTTTTTTAATCTATGTAAGGCCATATGATTTCTTAACTTCTGTCTCTGTTATGTGTTGGCATTCTCTTATTGATCTCTATGTTTTTTAAATGATATTTTTCATATAAATAATCTTTCTCCAAACTGTTATGCTGAACATATTTATATTGTGTAGGGTTTCTTTTGATGGCAGATTTTCTGGTTCATCGTATGCTTCTTCCACAGCTAAAGAGAAACCAGAAGTTAGTTCTGCTATTGCAACGGCGGCTCCACAGTGTTTGCTGAAAAAGGCACATGCTGGTAAGTCAGTATAATTATTACTTTTTGCTTGGCTTAAGGTTTGGTGAAAAAGTCACATGCCAGTAACTCAATTTGTATAAGAAAAGCTTAATACTTTTTTCCTTTTTCTTTCAATTGTAGATAAAATGAGTGCGATGCCAGTGGCATATCCACATGTCGACCTAATGGATGAGAATGATGGAGCAAGTGAATCAAGGTCATTGGCCCCATTCACGCTGAACCAAACATCCTCTAGTCCTGAGCTATCCACAAATATCATATCTTCCTTGGAGGAAGTTTACATTGTAAATAGTCCATCTCCCCCCAACAGTGGGTCCCTCTTTGCAGGAGGAACTACTGCTAGGGATGTTCCATCTTCAAACAGTGCTTTTACTAGTGAAGCTTCAAACACAAGCTCTAACCATTCTAATAGGAGTATGAATATTAGCAACGATGAGGGGCCAAATCATGAAGATATGAGTGACCCTGTAGATTTTGCACAGTATTTCAGAGAAGGCTATTGTAAGGCTTCAACTAACCAAGAATCCCGTGAATATACAAAAGCGGTCACTCATAATGATAGCAATAATACTCCTTGTGGAAAGGAGAAGGGTGAAGATGATGTGGAAAGTGTTGACATGCTTGGTGGGATTTTTGACTTCTCGGAAGAAGGTTTGTGGATCAAATGTGGAAATGCTTTTACTTTGTTAATTTGTAAAGCGCTGATTACAAGTTTTTTTTTTTTTTTTCATTTTTCCTATATGATTACTGTGGGCAAAAATATCACTCACTGCAGTGTAAAATTGCGTTTTACTATCGTCACTACATTCACTGCATAAATTATATGGTCACTGCATATTAAAAGTCAGATTTTTGTTCATTTTCTTAATTTAGCCATATATTTGTCTTTAGTTCTGATTATAAACTATAGTGAGTTTGTTATGGGAAAAGAGAAAAGTCCCTTTTAATTGTTCTTTTTTATTTTTAGTTAAAGCATGTAGTGCTGAATGGTTCTAGTTATTATCATTGTTAACCACTATCTGTTGCTGGCTTCACTTATTGCTAATGTTTTTCTTCCCTCAGGTTGATGCATGACTTCAGATAATCTGCTGGTGTCATGCTCCACTATCAGAATCTTTTAAAGCATTGTCCAGTGCATATGAATCTCATGTTCACCCCTTTTCACTTGGACAAAAATGCTACTGACTATTGGTTGCTAAGTGTGACATTTGCTTAGTCCATTTTTTTTTGCCGGGACAACAAACGCCCGGTTTCTCTGCATGTAATTCATATGTACATATGCTGTATATTCAAATTCATCACAAACGATTGGCATGGACAGTTGTTTGTCTGTAATGTTCAAATTCATATATTTGTTCTTTGGAAAAGAAAAGAAAGTGAGAAAATAAAACAAAAAGTGAAAACTGGCTTAGTTTATTTGTTTACTGGCGGGGGCCGGGGAAGTACTTTTGTTTGTTGTATGCAATGATGCCCCCTCCACACACCGAAGTAGTGACAGATCAGAACTCAGCAGTTGAGCGGACGACAAAAGATGCTTCATTTCTGACAGAAAGGAACACGGTTTAGGGGCTCGATGGCATATGAAAATTCATATTGGCATTTCATGTACATAACAAATATGGCTAATAATATCTGGTAAGTGCAACTTATTGCACGTTTTGTGTGTATCAGTGTATGTGCCTTAACTGAAAACTGGGTTGTTCAATCGTTTGGTTGACATGAAAGAGTGTGGTAGTATGTGAACAGTATTATGAAGGAATCAACTATCAATCTATAATTCTTCAAAAAAAAAACTATCTGTGTTTTGTGTTGTGTGTGTGACCAATAGGCAATGGCACCGAGCATATGAAATTGACTAGTAAGTTTATGCTGGACTCTAGGTGCACATCATCTGCAATTCTGCATCAGACTTCTATCTTCTGCATGTAAAAATAAAATAAACAAATTCCGTGTGGTTCTTTAACAAGGGTCCGTTTGGATGGAGAAGGTTGTAGAAGGGAAGAGATTGATGGAGTCTAAAAATCCAAATGACATGTGATTTTATAACATTTCTAGCATCATTTGTTTAATTGTTTGTCATTAGTAACACTATGCTTTATCAAAATGTAGATATCAGTTAAATCTTCCGATTTCCGAACACTGAACAGATAATTCCCAACTTCTGCAAAACATAAAGAAGGTTTGGTATATGGTCCCTAATTTGGCATTTTCTCATTTTAGCCATATTAGATAAATGCTGCAAAGTATAATATAAAAGGATCCCCAACTACCTAGTAAGGATTTAACCATTGCGGGTAAAATTATACGGAGTATAAGTATGGTGGAAAATAGAAGTAAAACAATGTGAAATTTCAAAAGACGACTACTATGTTTTTAATCTAAATAAGAAAACTGTAGTCATTTTGAAACCAATATTTTGACATTACTAAACATTATATAATAATAATAATAATAATAATAATAATAATATTGGCATAATCTGCATTACTTTCCAAGCATTAAAATATGACATTAATTACTTATATTTAGAGGGGAAAAATAGTACTTTTTTTTAACCTGGAAGGTAAACCATTAGATAAAAATATACGGAGTAGTAGTCTAACTTTGAAATTATAAGTCGTTTAAACTCTTATTTAGGACAATTTCTTTATAGGAATATTTTATTTAATAGGTGACTTGTTTTATTAATTTTGTCGCATATGTAATTCAATCGTGGGAATCTTTTTGTCGGTTTTGTCACTAAAGCTAAAATACTAAGCGAGGACATTAGTTTAAGTTTGGGAAAACTGTCAAATCAGTCCACCTACTATTTCAAAAAAGTCATCCACATACTATTTTTTCAATCAATTAAGTCTATCAAGTACTCAAAAATGACCAAATATGCCTTTTTCTCCGGTAATGGGTCGGTTTCCCTGTTAATCCGCCTATGTGGAACTTCCACATGGCTTTTTTTCCTTGTCAGCGCTTCATTGGCGTCTGTGTGGCATTAGATTATCTTTTCCCTTTTTTTAATTCTTTCTTCTTCCCCCTTCTCCCATTTCTGCAACTCCTCCCCTTTTCTTATTTCTCTTCTCCTCTTTCTTCCTTCCTTCTCCCCCTCTAGCTTTCATCTTTCTTCCACTGTCGATCTCTGTATCTTCCATTTCCATCTCCGTCGAGCTCTGCTGCTGCCGCCGTCGAGCTCTGCCACCGCCGTCTGGTTGCGATTGAAGAGGAGCAAGGGTTGCCGGCGGGTTGCCATATTCTCCTTCTCTAGCCATGAAAGAGGAGGGATAGAAGGTCGGTTGAGCCGTTGAGGTAGAAGTTGTAGAATGGAGAAGAAGAGAAAGGAGAAAAGAAAAAAGGGAAAGAAGGCTAGATGGGGGTGAACTACTGGATGGGAAAGAATGAAGGGAGGGGGAGGTCAGGTGGAGCCGTGGGGTAGAAGTAGGGAAGAAGAAGAGATAGAAGAAGATGGGAGAAGTTGCAGAGAAAAAATGGGAATAAGAAAAAACGGAATAAAGCAGGGGGAGTTCGCAGAGACGAAATGGGGAAGGGGGCTGAGTTACAGAGACAAGCAGGAGAAAGAAAAAAAATAAAAATGAAAAACAAAATGGGAAAAAATAAAAAAAAAGTACAAAATATTTAAGTGGCATCCACCGCAACACTAGAAGGGTTACCGGTTAGTTACCGATTAAATGACCCAATTGGTGAAAATTTGAGACTTTGTATACTTAATTGATTGAAAAATAGTACGTGGACTTAATTGACTTTTTCAAAATAGTAGGTGGACTAATTTGACAGTTTTTCCTTTAAGTTTCGACGCTATTTACCTTTGCTTTAAAGTTGTAAAGCTCACCATGAAAGTCACTACTCACTAGTGCTTTTTGTCCTTTCATGGGAAAATAACTGCGCAGTTAGAAGCGCAGTTATTTTCAAGAATTCATTTGAATGCCTTCCGGATTGAAGTTTTAGCTGAAATTTGGTGTGAGTAAACTAGACTTGATGAATAAGATGATCAAAAATTTTCATCAAAAAATTCCACCGGGAACCACTCCAAATGACGACGGCCGGACAAAACCTCCTAAATAAGGGCTTATTTGACCTTTTTGGTTAGTACATAGGCCTATTTGCACCTTTTCCCATAAGAAACTAAGGTTTAGTAGCTTTGATCTAAAGATGGTAGCAGTACTAATGATACAAATATTTTGTTAAAATGAAATGGATATTTTTTTACGAGTATTACCTTAAAACCCTAAACTGGTGATGCTATTTGAAATTGATGGATTTTGATAAATGATTAATGAGTGAATAAGATTAGTACATCAAATTATTTTAATTAAATATCATTTGAGTTAGCAACAACAACAATGCGATTTTGTTGTTGTTGAGTTAGCTATATGATTTTGCCTTATTAGAAATACTAGTTACTTTCACGCGCTTTGCGCGATTAGATTTGTGTCCAATTTATGTGTGTGATACAAATATTTAGTTATTATTTTTATAGCCACCGTGGCGGCAAGAGTGGTGAATAAGGGGTTTTGTAAAGAAATATTAAATTCAAGGTAAGGATATAAGAGTAACTTCTAAAGAATGTGATTTTTTGAAATATACAATTACATAATGGAATTAATACTTTCAAGATCATCTTCAAGATATAAAAAAAAGGTACCTATATGCAATAGAAATCTGTAAAATACTTTCTCCATTTCTAAAACTTTGAGGCTATTTGGCAAGACTGTTTTTCACGAAACACGTAAACTTTGTTTTCGCGTGCTGAATTGTGTAATAAGCAGAAAAAGTAAGCTTGAAGTTCTTTTTCTGTCTATATTGGATGAAGTTACTGTAAATGACCATTTTAGCTATTTTACATATAATTTTTTCTTTATTTCATTAATAAAATATATTTTATTTTATTTTTTAAATGTGCAGAATCAGCCAATGCAACTACTCCAGGTAGAACTTCGTAAATTTCAGCACAATTAGCCAAATAAGCTAATTTCGTGCTACCAAACACGCTCTTTGTAAAAAAAATTGTTGTTCCACTAACTTTATCACTTTCTCTTTTAAGTAAAAAAATTGCGATTTTTGTTAATTTTCCCCCATCTACACAACATCTATCACACAATTTATACTTCATTAATCTGTGTGTCAGTCAAACTTGACAAGGTTTTAAAGGATGGTGAGAATAAAAATTGTTTCCAGAACAAAACATAATAGTTCTCTGAAAGATATATGACCATTCGACCTGATCTTCTATAAAGTGTTTACATAGATACTGCAGCGGGCTAGAATGTTCTACCTTAGCTTGAATTATAATACTTATTCATTATTTGGACCAAGCCACACAAAACGATTGGATTTTGTTATCTGTGTAACACATGGTCTTGGAAAATCATACTTTTCTTTTAATTTTTAATGTGAGAATCTAAAATTCAAAAAGATTTTGGAAAAGTTAAATGGAATACCAAAGATGGAGAGAAAACAATTCGGTGCATACATGATAATTGATAAATACAACGGCAAGATCAATAGACGGAAGTTGTGGACAGTTATGACGGAAATAAAATGGCAAGAGTAAGTTTTTTCTAAGAATACACATGACAAAGCATATTGTACAATCCAATAAAGTTAGATGATTACACCAACACATTTATTCTCCCTAAAATGCCGTAACCCTCATTCATGTTTATAAGATTTTAGATTAGATAACTTTAGTTAATAGTTTATCACACCCCAACAATTGAAGAGTAAAAACGGCTGATAAATTATTTGCCAAACCCAAATAGTAAGAAAAACCAATTTCTACATGTTCTTTATTTTTTTAGGTATAATAACAATTCGTCTAATAAAAAGTAAAAGTTGCCAAAAAAAATTATTCCCTCCATCATGTTGGAAGGTTTCGGGGAGTAAATGACACGTTTTTTTTAAACAAGGTGGCTTAAATTGAAATTAAAGCATTCGGCAAGGGAAACAAAAAATAAAAGGACCACTTCCAACCACCGACCCTCGAACCAGACTCAGAACCAATCACCTTTAAAAAGCAATATGGTTCGTTGATCCTGTAATGTGTTTAAATGAGCCTAACGTGGTTAGAGCAAACCTCTCATCACCCCAACCTAATGCAAGAGTCCGGCATAAATAAATGTAAATGACAAAGACAAACATAGTCTGATTAAAGGAAACAACAAAAATAAAAACATTAACGTGGGAATTCAGCTGCATCCTCAGCAACCCAAGGAGCTTTCCCTGATCCTTAAAAGCTAGGACCCACTTCACATCTCTCGGCGGGTCGAGAAGCCTGGACCCGCCCCAACTCCGTTTTTTGGGGCATCAACCACCATTTTGTCTCTCCCTGCTTCCTCTTCCTTTTCCTCCTCCCATGCCCTCCTATGCTTCTGCTCACCAGTGCTTTCCTCCTCAGCTGATGTCTCCTCCTCCTCGTTGTGGACCTTGTGACCACCCGCCACAGTGAGAACCTAACTCTGCTTTCCTGCCCCAATCCTACCATTTCCCCCACTCTGAAGCCTTCCTCGGCTGCCCACCGAACCTTCTGGCATAAGCCATTTATTCGCAGTCATCGAGCGGGTCCCCCCACCCCCACACGAAGAGATGCCCTATAGGGCTTAGCCAGTTCCCCACCCTTATGTTCATAGACCAGGGGACAAAAACTGTCAGCGTGCCCCATGATACCACATGCAAAACAAAAGTTTGACAATTTCTCATACTTAAAATCAACCCAGTGCCCCGTACCCTGACCCTTTTTGAGAGTCGTTCCAACTTTGAGCGGTTTCTCCACATCCATATTAACCTTAATTCTCATATAGGATCTCCAGTTTTCCTCAAACTGACTCTCATCAAAGCTAACAAATTTTCCAATAAAATTTCCTATTCTTCTTGATGCCCCATGTGCATGAAATTATATGGTACATTATGTACCTGCACCTAGAACTCTCCGCCTTGTTTAGAGGGACCTGTAGTGGCACATCACCTGGCCTAAGCGCCCTTAGAATCAACAGATTGTGCTAAAAAATCCACGGTCCACCGCTAATAACACGTTCCATATCAATAACATGACAAAAAGTGAACATGTACCTTTTCTCACCAATTTCTTTGATGGTAATACCTTTGCCCGGTCTCCATATTGAAGCCATGAAACCTCTAAGCACCGGAAATTTCACCATCCTGTCCGTGAGAATCGTCCCCACCACAAGGTAAATCTCCTGATTGGCCGAACTCCCCTCTTCCTCGGTGGAATCTTCTTCAAAAACTAGCTCCTCCTCTTGTTCCCCGATCATCATCTCTTTGTACTTATTGGTGATGCCCTCCATCTCTGTTCTGTCCACACCCTCGGTGCCACCAGTAAAAGAAACTCGTCGGAGAAGAAAACAGCGCCCTCTGTCCCTATCTCGTTGTCGTCCACAGTACAAAACCCACGGCCAACCTGCACCAAACTATCAGCAAAAACAGAAATCAAAATCCCGCCCCGGAAAACTGAAGTCGAAGCCGATGCAAACACAGTGCACAGGGATCCTTCGAAGTCCGAAGCCAAACGCTAGCGAGGATCGGCGCTAGAAAAACGAAGCTGCGCAACCAAACCCTAGGGGATTAGGGAGACGGCCGATTTTCTTAATGAGATGATTTTTTAAATAAGTGGTTAAATAAAATAATTTAAGTGAAAAACAAAAGTAAAAGAAAATTTAGAAAAAGGAAACATATAAAGTGGAAGTAACTAAAGAGAGGTAAGTTTGGGGGAGATAATTGTGAGACTTGACAAGTAATTAGTATGAAAGAGAAATTTGAGTAAATGTGTAATTAAAGAGAGTAAGTTATTTTCTAAAATGGAATGAGAACTTTAAATGAGATATCCAAATAAGAAAAGTGGAAACCTTTCAACGCGACAGAGGCGGGATATCAAATATTTGTGATATTGACAAAGTGTATGAATCATATATTGGGTGTTTTGACCTCTAGCGGTTAGCAGTTAGCGAATAACGGATTATATTAGCGGGTTGTCATTAGCGGATTCGGTCAACGGTTTTGACTAGCGGAATAAGTTGACAGTTGCCAAAAGGTTTTTGGTAATTTAGCTGTTTGGTCATAAAAATTTGTAGAAAACGTCATATTTCAAAAATCTAACTCAAAACTCCATATTTTGCAACGTTTTCATTTCAACGGTTCCCTCCAATAACATTAGAGCTGAACAACTATTCATTGCAAAAATCAAACATGTGGTATATAAGATATATATTATTCAAAATATACCCACACGACTTGATTAAATTTTGAGTAGAAGGCCAAGGCATGGACATTATGGATGTCGTGGTATGGACAGACTGCTACATGGATATTTGTTTGCCGCGACATGGATATTTTGGATGCCGCGGTTTGGACACTGCGGCATGGACATATTGGATGCCACGACATGAAGCAGAGTTTTGGATTTTTGGGTGTGTGCATATAACAACACCTTCGTATTTTGTTTAGAATTGAACCTATGATCTGTGTGCGTGCTTGTGCGGCACTGATGTATATTTTGGTATTTTTGATGGGGCCAAGTTTGTATACTTGGTCATTTGGCATATAATAGATCGAGTAAAAACCTCCTTTCAACCTCACATTATGTGGAGGTGGAGGGATTTTAGGAGATCTAGGATATGTGATGTATAATTTCTTTGGGTGTTAATATATATTTACATTTCATCCAAAAAAAAAAGAGTTGAACAACTATTTACTAAACAATGTTTTCATTTATTAAAAACGCAAAAAGTGATCAAACCGCCATTTTTTT